GTCTGTAAGGTTAAAACAGACAAAGAGTTGGTGTATGTGTGTTATCATGTGTTCTTTCTCTTAGCCTAAACAAAACTGAGTGACGTTCTGACGTAAAAGGTAACACCTCTGGGGTGTAACCAGGAAGGGATGAACATTATAAGCTGAATTCATTATTATAGTAAAAGGAAGTTGTCAGTGTTTTGCAGAGTGTCTGCTCAGAGCAGAGCTCCCGTGTTTGTTTTGGTTTGGCCCAAGGTTGTACGCTGAGGCCTGTGCTGCTGAGAGCTGAATGAACCTGATTGGAGTCAGAGGACTGAATAAAGTTTTTAACAAGAAATCCAGCTGAATCCTGTTTATTCGGACATACCATTTTGAACAACACATATTTTCTTACAAGTCGACACAGAATTTTATTATTGACTTTTAGTATTATTTAACCATGTTCATTTGTAACTGAAATGCAACTGTGGGGGTCCATGGAAGCTGCTGATTTCTATTGACTGTGGTTGCATTGTTTACTAATAAAGAGAACATGCCGCTCTGCAAACCACAGAAGAAGATGCAGCGGGCACATCAAAGAGCGATAATAATGGCAGAACCGGAAGATAATCATGTAAAAAAAAAAAACAAGACATTTCAAAAGCTGGCTACAATAAACCAAAGAAAGTAAAATGCAGACTGTCTGCATTTTATGAAAACATGAACACCTAAAGCGTTAACATGCTGAGATTATGTCCTCAGCAGATGGGCAAGTTTTATAAAGTTAGCTTGTTCATCAGGTTGATACCTTTAAAATATTTTACTTTCAGTAATTGATCACTTTAGCAAACTGTCTATAATTATTGTTAGTTTACCATCAGAAAACAGTGTTTGTTGGAAGCGGAGCTATCAGTTATGCTATCGTTAGCTAATGTGTTTAGTGTCATCCTATTAAATCAATGAATTACAGTAATAATCCATCCTGTTTCGTTTTTTTGTGTTCAAGTCTTATCTGAACGTTTGTACTGTCAGATCCAGCAAGATTACAACAGGATGGATTATTTTTTACTTTTATGCACTTAAATGTCACTTTAACCAAAGTTACTCTTTAGTTTAATTGATACTTGCAAAGCTACATCTAAACCCTGCATGGCAGGTTAACAGCCGCTTAATTTGCCATGAGAACTTGTTATGTTAAAGGGATCCATGTTTAGTTGTAACATAAGACTTTTTTTGATAAACATACATTTTACAGCTTTATCCACCCTGAAGGTTAATCTTGGACAATATCTGATGATCGACTCTTTTAAATGAAACCAGAG